TTTAAAGTTATGAATTAAATATTTATTAGTCATTTTGAACTCATTTTACAAGCTTAAAAATGTGTTATTGGTACTTCTTGACTGTAAAATGAGACCAATTCAAACTTGTTTAAATTCAAAATGCTAAGTATTCCTTTCAAATAATTCAAGTGTTTTTTTTACCTTGAGTAAAATAACCAAACATATTATTATCTTGTTATTTTTTTTATTTCTTATGTTTTTATTCTCTTTTGTTTTGGGTGTGATATTTATTTATTAGAAATAATTTATAATCTATTCTAGTAATAAATTATAATATTTAACCATATTGACAGCAGCATTAGCCACAAATTGTTTATTTAAATTCAAAATTAGATTTTGATGGGTTTTTTTCAAATAATAACAACATAGAATTTTATAAGCATTAAAGTTTTCTGCAAGCTCTGACATTCTTTTTAAGGGTAACAGCACTTTCAAATATTATTATTTCATAAATGTTTTATTTCTAATATCTTTGTACTCTTTTGTATTAGGTTGATATTTATTTTATATAAATATTAGAAATCAAAATAATATTTTCTAATTATAGCTTATATATAATTATATCGACAGCAACGTTAGCCACAAAGTGTTTAAATTCAAAATTTGATGTTTTTTAAAAATTCCAAACAACAAAGTATTTTTTACAGCCCATAGAGTTTAAAGTTTATTTATTTCTTTAATCAGGATAGATGACAGGTTCTCAGTGTGAATATATATTAATATATATATATATATATATATATTTTTTTAGATGGATTTATTTGAAGAGAAATAGTTTTTTTGCCAGCTCTGATATAAATTTTAGGGTCTGACATCACTTTCAAGTAAAACAACCAAATGTGTTATTATTGTTTTATTTATCATATTTCATCCCCTTTTGAATTAACTTGTTTATTTAAAAAACATTTTTTAGAAATAGATATGATCTATTCTAATAATGAATCATGATATTTAATAATATTGGCATCAACATTAGCCACAAAGTGTTTAAGTTCAAAATGTGCTGTCTCCTTTTGAAATAATGTGTATTTTCTTGTAATTCTTTGATATTTTTAAAGGGTTTTCTAGTTATGTTACATCTATTTTCTAATATTATTATCATTATTATTATCAGCGGAACTTCAGCCACAATGTGTGGAATTTCCAAATTTGATGTTTTCTTTTAAAATATAAAATAGCCTAACTTGTTGTCTGGCAAAAAAACTCAACTAAAAAAAATAATCAGCATCTTTGTATTTTAAAGCTGTCATATGTATGTGCGGGTATTAGTGTATAGCATATGTTTCCAAGGAACCAGTCAATACATTTATTATTTTTTTTTAAATATATTTTTATTCAAGAAACTACAAAGTAAGGTACATAAAAATACAGTAACATGAATCGAATTTGCTTTATCTTTTAACAACCAAACCCCACCCACCCACCCACATTCAACAGAGAAAAATACAATTAAATAAATAAATAAATAAAAAAATACAAAATAAAAGGGGGGGGACAACAGGGGACATTACATGTCAATAATACAACACTTGGACATCGTCAATTATACTATGTATATACATACATGCACATATACACACACATATCTACATCCCAGGGCTCCAGTCTATACATTTCTTTTGTCCCGATATAGACAGTGGTGGCAGCATGGATCTGGCCCAGAAGGTTCTGCTCCCTCCAGGAGGGCTGAGTCTAAAGTGGACCCGGGTTCACCCCATTGGCGCAGGCCTCCAGAACATGGGGAACACCTGCTTCCTAAACTCAGCCCTGCAGTGTCTCACCCACACCGCACCTCTGGCCAACTACTTGTTGACACGTCAGCACTCCAAAAAGTGTGAGTTAACGTTTCTTACTTTTTCAAACAACAACAGAGGGGTCGGACTTAATGGTGCGGGGATGTGCTGATTACTAAGTCATTGATGTTGAATTTTCATTTTGTAATGTCATTGTCTGAACGTGTGTCTCTCAATTTTAACTGATATTGTATTATGTGATTTTGTGTTGTTTTGTCTTCCTGCGAATTAGCAACTATGCTAGAATCTGGCTCATTTACAATCTGTATGAGATTGTTCATTAATGTGCACTGTCCTGATTAAATAAATAAATACATTCTTGGACAGCTCAGCATTCTATCTGCACTGTTTTTTCTGCCTGAATTTTATCTCTAGTCTCATGTTCATCTGTTGCTGTTGTAGGTGTTGAAACAGAGTTCTGCATGATGTGCACAATGGAAAACCACGTCATTGCTGTGTTTGAGAGCTCTGGGGACGTTGTTCGTCCCATAGATATTGTCAGCAAGATTACAAGTAAACAGATATTTGTATTTTTTTTTTTTTTTTTACTTTTGCAGCGAAGGTTCAGAGTTTCCCTTTAGAAGTTGAATCATACTCGATATATTTCTGAAGTGCTGTATCATTAATCGCTGAAATGCCTCTTACTCGTTTCTGTAGGTATTGCTGATCATTTCCTGTGTGGACGCCAGGAGGATGCTCACGAGTTCCTGCAGCACACGCTGAACGCCATGCACAGATCCTGTGTGTCCAACACGTGAGTGTGCTTTCTGTTTTCTGATGGTGCTTGTCAGGGTAGGGGATCTTGATGGAGGACTCAGGCGCGGAAATGCAGAAAACAGGGTTTATTGCAACAAAAACCGGTTCAGAAGCAAAGTGAGCAAAGTAACAAAGCAAGGTTAACAAAACTGCGGCAAAATATCAAAACAAGGCTGTGGCAAAAGTACAAACGAGATTAACATGGCAGTGGTCAAAACAAGGCTATGGCAA